CACACACACACACACACAGACTCACCAGGGAATTCACTCAGACACACACACACACACACATTTGTCTTCATGTGTATGTGTGTTTGTGTGTGTGAATTTCTTTTCCCTTCTATAGCCCGAGGCTGATTTATTGCAGAAATTAAAATTTATGACAGAAAAAATCAAAGGTAAATTAAATAAAATAAAAACTGTTCCTATTCAAGCAATAACTGATAAAAAAAACAGAACACACAAAAACAGCAATGCATTCCAGCAGTCACATGCTTCCACACAAATACACACCATCAAACTGTTAATGTACTGTATATGCAAATCATGGTGCACGGCTGTGTGGAGCACGAGGAAGCTGCTGCTGCTTCTCAAAGAATGAGTTGACACTCCACGACACCGCTGGGAAAATATTGCGCATTGATGAAACGGCAGCAGCCGTATAAAAAGATTACGCACGTCCACTTCCTGTCTGAGGATGGAGACGTAGTATCGAGGTCCCGTGACCTTTAAGTTTGGTCCACGTCCCATCTACTAAAATGGGAAAGTTGGGATTTATGACCTAGACTGCTGCCAGCCCCCATTTGGCTTCAATTTTGGGGAGCTGTCATATCGTCCATCTTTATATACAGACTGTGTATCATGTATACAAACATCCCAGCAGTGCAGGGAGCATTGTGAGTGAATGATTAAAGCTGGGTGATGCAGCGGGACTCGAAATGGTGCAGTAGATATACTAAGAATTATACTGAATGATTTCAAACAATAAAAATCTGTCTTCTGGAGAGACCCAGCCAGAGCCCAGGTCTGTGGATCTGAACCTGCAGCTCCCTGAAGTGTCGGGTTCACTGACTCTTTCCAGCAGCGCTGTCAATGCTTAATGAAACACGCGATTTTAAAACATTTGTTAGCAAAGCACAATGAGTTCGTCTTCAGTTATGATCAAGATCAGATCACATTTATGAAACCAGGTCAGTTTAAAAGGTTCACGTACTTTTTCTTGCCTCTCTAAGCACATTTTCAGTGTATTTAGTAATACCCAGAGGCCATATTACCTTCTCACCTGAAAAATGAATTTTTAACATAACAGTTCCTCTCATATGGATGTGGGTGGCTTTTAAATATGCAACCCATTACATCACAGATTGAAATTTAGCTGCATTACTATGCAAATGAACGCAGCCGGTGCGAGCTACCTGCATTTCCCTCGCTCAAGACGTTCGACTCCCATCGTGCTGGGTTGGAATTGATGGAATTGGGAAAAAAGGGTGAGAGAAAAAGTGCAGCAGCTCCATGTAGACCATCAGGACTTGTGATTACAGTGTGGATGTAGAGGCAACCGGTTCGTTGTCACTTTGCACTGCCGCACTCACATTGCCAATTTATGAACACACGCTTTGTGTCTGAACACAAAGACCTGAGCAAACAATTTCCTCTGTGACCTGACAGCAGCAATTTCACATCAGCCTCTGTCTTACAACCTTTCTCCCACATTCTCACTCGTGCACTTACCTCTGGACGTGCTAATGGAACCGAATTGGCCCAGCCATTACGCTCATATTAAGTTTAAATTAGCTCCAAATGACATTGAAATTATTCTCTAAACGACTTGAATCTGACTTATGCCACGATCCCCTGTCTCCCATGGCAACTGGAGAAAAGGGGTTTGACTTCCCATTTGAATTTCCCTGCCAAAATAAAGTAGAAATACAAACACCAGGTGTCAACACTGTGTGGTGAATCGAATAGAAGAAAATAGGAGGAAGCGTCAGGGAGGGTTGTCTGCAGGGTTCATTAAAGGTGACACCTATTTCTGTTCGGCACTGTTTTAATCAATGGTATTAGGATTAATATTCTGATTTCATATTTCCAGTAAAGTTGTACCTTCCTCATCGGTTTTAATTATCCTGGTAAAGGCAACAAGCATGTATTCAATTTCAATGTAAAGCCATATCTATGAGTGTTTGCAATTTGGTGCAGATCCACATTTAAAAAAAGCAGATCTAGTGAATTTAAATGTGGTTTCATGAGGGGGACTGAAAATATATATTCTCTACTTTCTTTTGAAACCTTAAGCTCTTCATCAAAACCTTTAACCTTCAGACACCCTGGGGGAAACACAGCGAATGAAAGATGAGATAAAATAAAAAGATAAACACACAATGAGACTAAGTAAAGCTGTGTGTGTGTTAGTCTTACAGATGATCCCGGCGGCTCCACACACATGCCTCTCCATGCACTGGTCACACGACTGTCCCGAAGCCCCCGCCCTGCAACGGCACTGGCCCGTGACAGGGTCGCACGGTCCGGGCAGCGCCCCCCACACGGAACACTTACACTCCTCGCAGCGGCCGCCCGGCGTCCTCGGGTTACCGCGGTAACCAGTGGCACACCTGGGCAGAGGAGTCATAGCGAGAAGGGACGTGTTAGACGCGTGAGAACAATTATCCAGCAGCTGTTAATAAAGTAACACACTTCTTCACTGTGCACACAAATAACAAATGATCCCAGTCCCCAGCAGAGGTTTGTACTTGCTACCTGCATCACCTTGGATTTCACATTCTTGTCCTTTTGCCTTGTGCATTAGATTCATTATCTGCACTGCATTAAAACTGTATGAGTTCTAAGCTCATCTTGTTTTCAATAATAACGGGAGGATTGTGAGACACTCTCTGTCTGACCTCTCACAGTATTTGCCCTCATATCCCTCGGGACAGGAGGTGCAGCGGTAGTCATCAAATCCCTCCGCAACACAGGTCGGACTGAAACTAGACACAGAAAAAGTATTTTAAACTAAAAGTTACAACATGATGCATGATGGGTACATTATACTTTTAATGTAGAGCACTGCCAAAAAACAAACGGAGACAGTTTACTTGTTCTCTGGGTTGGGGAGGGGGCAGGCGCAGGGTTTGCAGTCGTCATGAAAACCTCGGACCACGCCGTAGAATCCTGGAGCGCAGCGTTCACATCGATCCCCCTCTGTGTTGTCTTGACAGTTCTACACACACAAACACACAAATGAAAAAAACATCTTGACTTCGGTTACATTTGTAAAAACACTAGATTGACTTCTATTAATTTTCCACAACGCTCCATGACCCAACACGTGGGTGTGATTCTTCACCCAGCATCAGTTCTCAGTAAGTGTGGTCAAGTGTAATGTAGGCAGCTGTAACACAATAACAAAAAAAAACTCCTGCCGCCTGCTTTCTGAAAAGCTTTTCATCTTCTCAAGCTAAATTTCAAATTGAATTAACTGGAGTTAAGCTACACTTTCATTCTGCCACTGGCTCATTGAGAAGGAGACACAACAATGATTTCATTCCTCGAATTAAAGAAATGAGTATAACTCCAACGAACTGTGCACAATCCCTTGTGATTGCCTGATGATGAGTAACAGAAAAGATGACAGACAAGGTCCCTCATCATCTCCTCAGTCACTGAGAGTTGATGATTGAGCGACGGATGGTTCACCAGAGGAAGAGTTTAAAGATATGTGTCAAACTAATTATTATCCACCGTCCTTTCACTTCACAGTCTGGGATAATAGCAGGAACTTTAACTCTGCTGTGAGGTGATGGATTCAGACACTGGTGGGGAAATACTTGACAACATGTTTGGCAACAATGAAAACTGACAGATTTTCTTTTCCTCCTGAGACTAAAACATGAAAATTACCTCATCAGGTGTCATTTTTATTGACTTTTATTTTTTCTGGCAAAAATCAATTGAGCACACACACAAACAAACACACACATGCACACAGCCTCACTGGGAAGTACCTCGGTGTGACTGCAGCTGCCTCTGCAGCATCTCTACTGAAACAGTGAGAACATCACTAATCATTTCTTTTTGCCACCCACAGTTCCTGAGCTGTTCTAGGACCAAACTTTTATCCAGTCTGGACTCATTCTGATAGGAAACGTATCTGTCCGTTCACAGTAATGAATGTGTTTTTGGGCTCAGTCCCACTCCTGCAGGATGAGACCCTGCACAGCAGTGACCACCTACTGACAGGTGCGATCTCACACGTCAAAGACACATTTAATAGGCTTCCTTTCCCAAAAACAGGCCATGAAAACCCCTTGTTTTTAAGCATCATTCCACTTCCCTGTTACGATGGGAATGACCATAAGTTCCATATACAACCATACAAACGTAAACAACACGTATACCATACACAAACATGCAGATCTGTCCTGATGTCCCCAGGGTCCTGTCTTACGTGTTTGCCTTGTTTGCTGAAAATGGGAACTTCAATCACTGCAACAGGAAGTCGCCTCTTAACGAGCCAAGTCATTCCCATTAACTTCCTGTGTTTTCTCGTTACCGCTAATTACCACAGAAACAAACTCGTTTAGCATTTTCAATTTAGCCTGCTCGGTTAGAAAATGCTAATGACACTGTTATGGAGAGCGAGATGGAAACGGGTGAGGGAGAGAGAAAAATGGCTGGGAGGCACAGAGACGCAGAAATCAAGAGACAAGAGGGAGGGAGGGAGAGAGAAAAGGAGAGAGAAACAAATTGGCAAAACTAGAGAAAATTAAGGAGAGGTGCGAAAGAGACAGAGAGGAGTGGGAGAGGGGGAATAGATGGAAGAAGAAATGAGGGAATTGTGGGTAAAAGAGAAAAAGAATGGCAGGGAGATGAAAAGAAACAGAGGACGAGCAAATGCATAATTGAGGGTGAGGGAGAGAGAAACGTTGGTGTGAGAATGGGGCAGAGAATAGAAAAAGAAAATTATAAGAATGTGGAGGAGGAGCGAAGGGAGGAGAAACAATAGAAGGAAGTAGAGAGAAGGAGAGTGGATTAAATGAAGGGGAGATGAAGTAGGTTTGCAGTAAAAACAGAAAACAGGAGAAACGACAAGCGAAGCAGGAATCTACAGGAGAGTACAACATGCTTGTTAATTCAATTGGATATTAAGCATCTTTTTAATCTTTTGTAATTGACTTGTTAAGTGAAAGTTTAGCCACTGAACGACGTGCAGGCCGGATGTTACAAAATCACCTGTTGAAAACATATTGGGGGTTTAAGGGTCAGATTTATTTTCCTACCGATGTTCTAAGTGAAAAACCTTTGATTGTCTTCTTTCTCTCTGAAAAGCAGAGATCTACCTTTGGGTCGGATCCAGGGGAGAGGAAATTACACGAAATATGAATCAGCCCAGGGTCGTTAATTATTGCAGAGCTAATTACAGTACCTGACATCACACACACACATACACACATACACACACACACCAAGTTACCGGGCATATGGCTGCATGAGGGTCTCCAGCGACAGACTGCCCACACACACGCACACACTCATTTACCTGGCATATGGATGTCTCAGGGTCACAGGTGGAAGAGTGCCCACTGCATTGGCACTGAACACAGCTGCCCATGCCGGCAGCGCTGGGCACTCTGGATGCCGGAGCAGATGTCAGGGAGCCGGTGCGGAGCCGGTAGAAACCCGCGGCACACTCCTGCACACGGGGACCGGCAGAGACAAGGAGGGGAGAAGAGACGTAGAATTATAAAAGGGTGGAAAACACCCGCAAACACCCTGTGACAGCCAGATGAAACGCACACGGTGCACAACTACACACAACTGTTGACCACTCTCTTTTACACACACACACGCTCACAATTAAGAGTCACACCCTGGTACCCGCCCAGCACACACACACACACACAAACATGCGTACACACACACAAGGTAACTCACTCTCCCTCTCTCTCCTGTTCAGTAATAATTAATGGAGTCCATTTAAATAGCCATCTGTTCCCTCTGCTCGCGCTAAACGCCCGTTTAAAAATACTTTATTAACAACGACGGCAGCTACAAATAGAACGGCCATCTGTCAGCCGAGCCCTCCACGACCCGAACATTTCAAGTTTAGCTACCGTTTGCCTTTTGGCTTCCATTTTGGCTCTTTTTCAAACACTGTCTGTAGCTTCTAAATTATGAACATTGCTAATATTTTGCGGGGAATTTAGACGAGGGTGACAAAAGTGAAACAGAGGTTGAAAAACACAGTTAAAAGTTTGCGTGCTCCTTTGAGATTAACACAACGACGCCTAAATTACTCTCGGGCGCCGCCGTCCAGCAGAACTGCCCAGAACGGCGGAGCGCTGTGTATCATAAGCCGTCTCTACAAAATCCTCATTACAGTAAAGATTGAGTCACCGCTCTATGCTTTCTGTGGCTTAAGAGAAGGAGCTGCACAACGCTGAAAGTCAATTGCTCCGACAATATCAAACCGGAGGAAACGCTCAGTGAGGCATAATCCTGGTGAGGCAAAGCAAAAAAAAAAAAACATAGCAGAGACTCAGGACTTTATATTTGGTTCCATCATGTTGCAACACTAAAACAGCCATCGTGATCTTATAATACCCATTTCACTGCAGAGCCACTGCATATTCCAATCACATGGGAACATTAAAGTGATGCCGTAGTGATGGGAAAAAAATGAAATAGGCCGATAATAAGATTATTGCTGAACACAGCACACGCCTCACAAGGAATCTGGCAGGAGTATTACGGTGACACTACAGGAGATGCCAAGAAGAATGTAGTGTGCTCAGGTCAGTGGGAGCTAACAGTGACACACAGTCTGCTGCTACAGCAGAAGCGTCATGTTTCCTCATTCTGACTCCTGAGCACCACAGTCTCTTTGCTAATGAGGTTTAATGCATGTTTCTCTGGTTAATTGCTATTCAGCACATGATGCACCATGGAGCCAAACAGCGGGCCCCCGGATAGGACCTTGTTTGTTTAACTCTGAGGGTGGGGTATATCTGTCCTCCCTGGACACATCCATGCAGACAAGTTGACTTTTCGGTCCTGCAGAAATCTTTTAAATTCTTCATTGGCTCGTGTCTGCCAGACAACGATGACTGAAATCTCTCTTGGCTGTAATTGAATAGCAGCCGACTTGAGAGTGACACGGGCAGATGGCAAAGATTGACTGAAATAAGAAATGCATGAGGGGGGAAAGAAGACCAAAAAAATGATTACTTTTAATTCCATTATTTTCTGTCTATATGCAAGACTGCACAGATAACAATATAGGCTACATGCCAGAGTGCAATTCGACATACACATGACATCCATCACGTGTAGTCAGCAGATGCTGTCACTTCCATAGTATAATTTATGAGCATGCAGTGACTCCGAGTCACTGAGAGACACTACTGCACAACCAATATCACTGAAATGCAATATTGTGGCGTGATAAGCAATCGTTATCGAAGCATCGTTTTCATTTCATTTTTTGGGCATACACACACACACACACAC